CACATGGGATTTGTAGTTGTAAAGTCGGCGCTTCGTTCGTGCTTGGCAACATTGCACCTCTTCCGTTTGGACTGAACTCAGCTCGCAGTTGATAGAAAATGAAGTCGGATGTGGAGGAGTTAATGCCGAGGCTGCTGCCCGTTGAGTTTGGACCCAGTGCAGAGGACCTGGACCTGAATGAACCGCCGAGAAACCCCCGGGAATACCTCCGACAAGTCCAGTAAGTGCACCGTAAACAACTTATCGAGAGTCTGTTGGGAACTCCACTGGACTACACTGCTGCTGTCACCGGAAGTACTGCCAGTATAGTGTTAGTAGAGGGCTCATCCATCAATCAATCAATCCATCAATCAATCAATCATAATGTAATGTATCAAAGTGAGAAAGGAGAATTTTACTGTGACAGCCAGTGTTATAATAACTATTGTTCTGTGCTTCCATGTTCACTCTTTGCTCAACTGTACTCACAGAATAAAGGGATACCATTACTGTTGAGCAGAGTGCATCACTTGAGCCAGTTTGTCATGTGTTGTTGGATGGTGTGTCTTTCCGTCAGGTTGGAGGCATCACAATGTCCGGAGGTGGTGGTTGCTCAGATTGACCCCAAGAAACTGAAGAAGAAACAAACAGTTAATGCCTCTGTGAGTGAATGCTGTTATTTAAACTCCACTGCATAGAGATACAGTGCAGCATCTGCCTTATTGATCCTGTAATGTGTACAGTTTATTTGAGTTTAGAATTGTATTTAAGTAAAGTAGGATGGATATTACAAAGGTTGCAAATGTAGTTGGATGCTGTGCGGAAATAAAATATATATGTATGTTAAAATAAAGGTACAAGTTGATAACTGAAGCAGTATTTTGTTTCGACAAATATAAATCAAATCAGTTTTATTAGTAGTCAGGCTGTTTACATGAAGTATTGAATGAGCTACTGGGGAACACATGCTCAGTATTAGCATGTGTGATATTAGACGGGGTGAGAATAATGTACCATATTCTACTCCTTTAGGTATTCCTTCAGTTGTCTGGTAACTGTGTGTTGTGTGTTGTGTGTTGCAGGTGGCAGGCTGTCATGCGGCTCCAGTGGGTTTCTCCCCCAGTCTCAATTGGCAGCAGCAGCAAGTCAGTAACTTCTCCGATGTCAGACAGGTAAAAGAAAACACAGAAAAACAACTTTGAAGTCTTTGTTGAAAAGGGCAGAGTGGCGTTCGGTAAAGCCAACCTCTGGATTGTGGGTTCTGCCTTTTGCTTTCAGAGCATCACAAAGAACAGGAAACACTGGAGCAGGCAGACTCTGGACGACAACGTGCTGATGGTGAGGAGACGACATGGTCACACGGTTCATTCAGTAACTTCATCTGGAGGGCATTGGTTTCAGTGTTATCGATATACATATAAGACAAGAGGCAAAAAGATTTTGCTTGTTATAATATACATTTGTGTGTGTGTGTGTGTGTCCCACAGCCAAAGCTAACAGATGAGGAGGGCTGGAAGAGGTTTTGTTTAGGAGAGACGGTCTATCTGGGTACTTCGTCCTGTCACACAGATGCTGAACCAGAGCCGGCACTGGACTATAGCAAGGTTGTATTAACACGTGTTTGTGTGAGGAAAATGATAAAGCCTTATTTAATCAGGTGTTATTATTTAGCTGTCAGGTAATGTTTGTTGTATAAACTGGGGTTCTAATGGTCCTGATCCACTTTAAAGTAAAATACTAGACCGCAGTCTGCAAGTTGTTTCACAGCAGTATCAAACCTAAACTGATTCTAGCAATAACTCTGTCATGTGTCTGCACTCAGGTGGGCTTCCCTCCCTTCCTAAGCATAGTGAGCAGACTGAACCAGGTAAACAGCCTTCTCATTTAGACACTCACGCTCTAAACCAGTTCAGCAGTCTGATCATTATGTGCCTGTTTCAGTCCACAGTGCTGATGGTGATGGAGATTCTGATCAGTTGGTTTGAAGAACATGAGTTTGTTCCTCAGTTGGTGAGTGTTGTTTATTAAGTCACTCCACATTTTACAATTGCTTGCCAGCCTTTCACAAGTCCCATGCTACAATCACACTGCAGTTCTAATGTCTGGTAATTATGTATTTACTGAATCCTTGTAAAGTAGTTTGACCTGTTTGTTTACCATAGGGTCGCTGGTTGTATTCTTTGTTGGCCTGCCTGGAGAAGCCCCTGCTGCCTGAAGCCCACTCCTGCATCAGACAGTTGGCTAGGAGATGTGCTCAGCTCCGCAGCACACTGGTACGAGTCACTTTGTACCCCCGTCCCCCAGCCTGTGTTGGTCTACTACTGCCATCCTGTGTAGTAGTCGGTGTGCGTTTGCTGAACTCTCAGATCGTCTTTTCTCTCTTCTGTATTTAAGTGGAAATGTACAAGTGTCTATTTTTGCTTCATTTGGTCTGTCTTTGGTGCTAAAACCTCACTGCTGAAGTGTTGGTGCTACACTTCACACTCTAGTGCATCCTGCCAAGGTAGCTCTTGCATATTTAATTTAGTACTGTATTTAAATGTAAACCGTTCACAGCAAGGTTTTTGTGTCAGAATTGTGATATAGAGCTGACAGTATCTGTATGTCTGTCCTGCTTTTATGACTCCACAGGAGAGTCAGGAGGATGAGAAACTGCCTGCCCTCAACCTGCTCATCTGTCTTGTTGCCAGGTATTTGCCAAGTCCAAATAGTTTATATTGGTCAGGTTGCATAACACTTTATGTATATATGGATATTTATATGGTTGGTCATATTAAATTGCAAAGAAAAAGGTTGTGGTCCTAACTTAAAAATATCTAGTTTGTTGTAACAGTGACTTTACCAACATATTACAATCTGATTATATATATGACATATGCATACCATGTCAGATTAAATTTCTCATTTTTAATGTCTGTCCTGCAGATACTTCGAGCAGAATGACCTGGCAGACCAGCCGGAGTGAACGCAGGGTTGAACTGTAGCGACTGGTATCAACAAGATATTGAGGAGTATGTTGTTACTGATGCAGCATTCAGGCAGCGGGCTCTACAGTCAAACAACAAGAAACCCACGGGAAATTAAAGATGGAGGCTTTTTGCCAGCACAGTAAAATCAGTGGAAAGAATGGAGGCAACAGTGCACACAACCATGTAGGTGGTGGCTCTGCACGAGATGGAATCAACGTTGAGGACAGAAGAGTGGATCGTGAACTCAACCTGTATTATTTCAAGTAACTTGTATGGACCTCTGCTGATACAACTGGACCGAAGCCAAAGCAGTATGATGATTATTTTTAAGAGGAAAATTCATATTTTTTTCTTTGTGAATTCAGTCCTGAGGTTCATGGTTCTATAAAGTGTAAAAATGTGTCTATTAAACTGAAGATTTGTAGGAAAACCACTGTGGACGCTGTGTTGTTGGTCATCACGTAGTTAGGACCCTACAAATATGTATATTTGTGAATATCTGCACAGACAGAAGTACTGCATATATCACCAACAGGGAACTTTGATACACACATTAATAATCCAGAGGATTTATCTGTGTGGCCTTGGAGATCACCTGACGTTTTCAATCTCGACCAGCTCAGGCAGGGTTTCTGCAGGTTACATTTTAGACTTTAAGAACATTATGAATGTAATTTAAGACCCATTGTACATACTGGCAAAGAAAGGACCATGGACATGAAGGAAAATTGAGTCCACGTTGGTTTTGATTTGTAGTTGTTACAGCACGATCAATATAAAATGTTCCCCAAAACATTTAAAAAAGAGTAATGTTAACAATTTTAAGACCTGTCAAAACCCATATTTTAAAGGTTAAGTTTACCAATAGTATTTTTCACATTTGCAAAATGAGAAGTGAATGTGGATTAAAATAGATATTGCTATACCCTACTGAGGGCTGTAAATACATAGCAGTCAGTTCTATGCAAGTTGAATTTTTACAGCCTTCAGAATGAGATGTGCTGTTCTACCCATTCTAATGCATCAGACCTTGAAATGGAGACGTAATAGAATGTTTGTAAAATTTGTTCAGTCAATTGCTGCCACGCTCCAGCTTTTAAAACATGATTTACAAGTTGTCCATCTACAGCACTGTTAAACCAGATTTTAAACTATCAAACTAATGCTAACAGATTTTGGGGACTGTCAGACAAAAGACATCTGAAAATGTCACTTTAAACTCTTTAATTTTGTCAATTTACAGACCAAATTATTAATGGAAAATCCCAATCTGATTAGTTAATAAAAAATAACAGTTTCAGCCCAAATATGGTTAAAAAAAAAAAATCACACAGCACACATTTCCACTAATACCTCACCTTTAATTTGAAGCAGTTTATCAGTTGGTACAAAAAAAATGGAAAAACAGTTTCAAAAACCAGAATTTCAGCAAATCACACATGTACCCACGAGATGAAGATACAAGGGCCTCGACATTGATCATATATTGGAAATAAAAGGATCAACAGTGTTGTCACATCAACTTGAAAACACAACTACTGTACGTTAAATGGTTACTGCTACCATAACCATCGATACCCCAGCCTATGGCATTATGATTGGGATGAAAACGTGTAAAGAAACATTCAACACCAGCGTTTCATAGTGCCACACAGACTCGTTTTAAAACTCCAATGACGGGCGGAGAGAAATCTGTTGGATTTAAAATGACATGTCTCAAATCTTTTAGTAAGGGGTCCAATTAGAGACAGTTTAAGGGAGTTGCCCTGCCAGAGGCACAACTCAACTCCAGTTTACATTTCTTTTTCCCCAACTAAAGAGAAAACTGAGGAAAAAGTCATCCACTGCTTCATTACAGTTTTGACATTGACTTATAAATCCCTACACTGTTAAAACTTCAACAGGCCTTTGTGGCGTTGTAAGGGAAAATGCTACGTTTAAAAACTTGTGTCATCTCATGTCATAAAGTTAGTTTGTTTATTTCCCCTCAGTGTTTTCCTGTGTTGAATAAGAACCAGATTAGCGTCTCTTGTCCTTCCTGTCTCTATCTTTATGCTCCCTATCGCTCCGGGACGACCTGCCCCTCCCTTCCTCGCTCCTCCTCTTCCTCCTCTCCTTCGATCCCTTCGAGTCCCTCCCTCCTCCGCTACTTCCTCCTCTCTTACGGTGGCTTCTCTCCTCCCCCTTCTTCCTGCTCCTGTCCGACGGCCTCCTCTTGCGCTTGCCACTGTCCCGACTGCGACTTCGGCTGCTGCTGTTGGACGAGGACGAGGAAGAGGACGACGATGACGAAGAGGAGCGGCTGGACCCGGAGGAAGAGGAGGAGCTTCCGCTGGAGGAGGAGCCGGAGGAGGAAGAGGAGGAGCTGTTACTGTGACTGCGGCCCTTCCTTGGCTCCTTGTCCTTCTTCCTCCCTCTCCGGCCGTCCTCTTCCTCCTTAGAGGGTGCAGGGGTGGTGCTGGGGGCCTCCTGGGAATCAGGTAGTTTTTGGGGTGCTTCGTCCCCTGGTTGCCCTTCCACAGCCTGATTCTCGGCTGCTGAGTCCTGGACCTCGAGGCCAGGGATGGAGACTTCCTGCCTGGGCTCTGTGGGGGCTGTTTGAGACCCAAGGATCTTCTCCAACCCCAGAAGCCCAAAGGACTTAACTGTTGGCTCCCCTGCGCTGACACTGAGCTGAGGCTCACTGGGCTTTGGCGCTTCTTGGCTGGTTACGGCTGGTTCAGACTGGATGTCCGGGGTCTTCTCATTCTGGAGGTCTGTGGGGCCCTCTTTACTGTCTGTTTCTCCCTCCTCTCCCTTACTCCCGTCCTTCTGCTCTGGCCCACCCTCTGCCTCCATCTCCTCTGACTCTGGACTGGCCTCCTTCTCTCCCATCTCTGCCCTGTCCTCTCTGTCTTTAACCCCCTCCCCTCCTACCTTCTTTTCCTCACTGCCCTCCTCAGTCAGCTCCATCGCCTCCTCCTCTTCCTCCACCACCTTCTTCAACACTTCCTTCTCCCCTTCCTCCCCCTCGTCTTTCTCTGCCACCTTCCTATCCCCCTCCTTTTCCCTCTCTTCCTCCTCCTCATCGTCTTCCTCCTCCTCTTCCTCCATCTCTGCATCCCCCTTGTTACCTGTCACCCTTACTACCTGACCTGCGGGCTTACCCTCCGCCGAGTGGTCCGTCCCTGTTGCTGCCGTGTTGCCGTCCTGGTCGCGGTTTGGCTGTCGCCGGGGGCGGGACTCCATCTTGCTGAGGTGTTCGGCAAAAGCCTCGCACCTCTCCTCAAACACCGCTGTCCAAAAAACATCCACAAAAGGTTACACACACACACAAACCTGTTTCCCCTGTCAGACTGGATACCATCAACATCATCAAGGTGTCAAGAAGCCATGTCTTTCAGAAAGACAAGAAACCTAATCTCTTAAAGCATGAAACCTACTGACCATTTAGTTTCTTGGTGGAGTCTTCGAGGAGTTTCTGTGTGGCGGAGCACATTTTTCCAGGCAGGTAGAAGATGTGAGGCTTGGTCTTGGTACGAATGTACTTGATCAGACGCTTATTGTGGCTGGTCCACTCCTCTTGCTGTTAATAGAGGAGAGAAAGGGTTAAACAAAATGAATTATTCTGGCAAAGTACAAACATTTTAAATATACAATCACAACAAAACGTTTGGCAGATTTTCTATACCGAGTTGCACCATACCAGATAGATCATCTATGCACTCATTCACCTTTCCAATGTCTTGTTTCTATTGCCCCAAAATGGTGTTAAATATTTTCTTACCAGCTGAGCTAATTCCACTTTCTGTTCCAGTAGTCTCAGCTCAGTCTGTTTGGCTCTCCTCTCTTCAAACAGCTCCCTCTTTTCATTCTCCACCTTCTTTCTCTCAGTCTCAGCCTGAACCTCGAGCTTCTGCTCGATCTCTGTACGTCGCTTTTGCTGTGGGGGGCAAAATCCGAAGATGGACAGATGAGATGAAGGAGAGAAAGAGTTAATGGGGAAACAACTGTGCAAAAGCAGTTATTACCCAACTTACTGTATAAATACAATGTGTCAGCAGTTGGTCTCTAAATATTTTTGTCGATGCTATTGTGAACTAAACAGAACTCACAAATTCCCTCAATGTTACATTACATAACAGATAATAGGATAAAAATAAAAAGCAGTTTTGTAGCACAAGGACTCCCACTATAGCTCTGCTTACATCCATTACTCTTCATTTCTAAAATCAGAGCACAAATATGAAGTTTGACCTCAGTCTGGTTTTAGTGGTTTACAAACATCTTCTAATTCAGTAACTCAGTGAAAGCACAACTGGATTAGGATACTTCAGCTGAATTTTATTGTCTGTCTTGTTGGATGACATCAGCTATGCATCTTTACTACAATGGAAGTGTGTTCATTTGTTTTGTCTGCCCTCCTCAATGGCAGTCAGCTCAGTTCCCTAATGAATTGGACAGATTTCCTCACCTTCTCTGTAGAGACGTTTGACTCCTGTTTGAATTTCTGCAGGGTCCCCATCAGCAGGCCGAACATACGCCGATTCCTGACCAGGAAAAAACAAACCCACCATTACACACCTGTGATTTGTGAACTTTTTTTTTTTTTTTTGCCGTTCCGTATTTTCTGTCACTGTGGAACAAATGTGATTTTAAAGATCATGACAGCCCGCTTTGAATGTAAGGACAGCGGACTCATAGCTTATGTTGGCCTACCTCTGTTTGCCCCTCTCATCCATGGTTTGATCTTGAATGAGGTCTCGGCGTGTTCTCTCTTTGGAGGTAGCTACTACAGACGACTGCAACGCCGGCTGAGGGAAGAGGAAAACACAAAAGAGAAAAACTATTTGTTAGGGCTGTTTGTCAAAACACTTCATGTCTTAGCTTCAAAGAATCGATACTTAAAATGTGACAGTTAATGATGATTATCTATTTCTGACAGGAATTTGATGTGTTTTTAGTCAATTTAGTCTATTTGAAAACAAATTACCCATAGAGAGAAAAAATAGAGAGTTCTAATAGTAAAATACATGTTAAACAAACAATGGGAAGCACAACACTTAGAAATACTTGCAAAACAGTGCAATAATGCAGGATGAGGTGAAACGAATGCAAAGTGAGAAGTCCAGGCACTTGCCAACCAATCAGAAACAAGCTCTTTTCCATGGTCAAACAATGCTTTAACTAAACCTTTCTCCACAGGCTGCATACATGCACAGCTCCATCAACACTTCTCAGACGAGCTAAACTCTGTACTCTTACCTTTTTGACATCGTCATCATCCTCGGCGTCGCTGTCGTGACGCGCGTCTCTCCTGGCCCTCTGGTCCCCCGCCAGCCTGGAGACACATACACAAAAAGATAAGATGCTCGTAAGTGACAGACACTTCAATGCTAATCAGTGCAAACATAGCAACTGCTGCTCTCATGATGGCCGTGGCAGAAATATCTGCCAGAAAGCAATGAAATTAAGTGACTCAATTATTTCCTGGGGTGAGATCTGAACACAAGAAAAAAATAAATAAAAAGTACAAAAATAACTGAAAGACAACATCAAAACACAACCACAGAACAGAAGATAAATGTGATTCAGCCCGAGGCAGTCTGTGGGCTATTTTAAAGTGAAACTGTTTGGATCTCATCAAGCAGTTGGGTGAATTTCCTATCAGCATTAAACTCAATTATTACTAATTGTTACTTTGTTGCTGATAATTGAGTTGAAGTCTATTTATTGCACTAATAACTCATTCTAAGAGCTAAACACAATTATACATTGAAGATGAAACAAGCCATAAGAATGTGAACAGATTATTTGTATTACTTAAAATTACTTCTGGAAAATTGCATCATGGATGTTTTACCATCTTGGAATTGTGTTTGTTGCTGTTAGATGCACATGCATATAATAAAAATGGTCACCTCAGCAGAGCTCCTTCGATGTCCCTCTGCTTGGCAGGGGGGCCGCCGCTTCCAATGTCTGAGAGACTACGCCTGGGAGACGACACAGAGACGGTGGTTGGAGGTGAGCAAGCAATTTAAAAACAATCAACTGACCTTTACAAAGAGTTTTGTCAGTAAGAACAAATCCACATCTATGCATGTTTTGCCAGATGTACTGTAGCATTTTCTCATTTCTATTACAGTTTGTTTGGACAACCAAATACAGAAGAACTATAAAAAGATGTATGTAGGCACTAAAATGTGTCATTGTTTAAACAAGTGTACTGTACAGTCAGCGGTCAGGTGCACCTGACAAACACTAATGTCGTCATGTTCAGTAGTTTGAACTGTTTTAGAGAGGTGTAGTTTGTGGTGCAGTTGGATTGTACAGTGTTAGATTCGGACATGTTTAGTTTACCCTCATTCGTAAACTGAATAAATTAAATGATTTAAATGTCATGTCTCTTCCAACCTGTAGTTGGTGGGAAGCTATGCAATAAAAAAAAAAAAAAACCATGCGAGCCAATACTACAGATTTGTCCACATCTGAGCGAACATCAGTGTCGTTGCATGCAAGTATCCAGAGCACGGCTCTACCTGAGCAGGTTGACTCCTCTGCCTCTACCTCCACCGGGGCCTGCCATGGGGCCGCCGAGCCGACGGATCTGACCCGGTCTGTAAACACAGCAACAGTCAACTCAAAACCAAAACCCGCTGCAAAGCAACTCGCTGAAATTGTTTTGTCGGCAATGATATCACTACTGTGTTGAAACCCAGGCGTTTGGTACCATTAATGAACAGATGGGTCGACGCCTACAGGGCCTAGCGATAGTTGGCCTACTAGGTTGGATATTTCCCTCCAAGGTTAGGAGTAATTATTAACTAAATATCGTTTATTTATTTATTTGCATGCTAATTCATCAGTTTGAACATAGGTATGGCCCGCGTTTGTATGTTCAGCTGGCACAAAACTACCTGAGGAGGTGGTAATGTTTGCTAGCCAGCTAACCGACTCATGCTACTGCGTACGGCTCGTCGCTGAACGCTAACAAGTCGCTTCGCTCTTCACTACAAACCCGCCAAGAGCCAGACGACCACGTGGGCTTTTTTACCTGGATTCATTAGGATCACGTCCCGTTAGTTTGCGAATATTATCGTCCACGTTTTTCAAGCTTTCCTTGGCTTTTTCGAGCTGGTCTTGCAAGCTCCGCACTACCACCGCCATCTTGCTTCAAGTTAGCGCGAATCATGTGTTTCTCTTCTTCTTCTGCTGTCCCTCGCTCTTTTTCTTCTTCTTCGGGTTTACCGGCACCCGACATGAGGCGCATTACCGCCACCTGCTGCTCAGTTTTGATCCTGCAAGTGATTGCTTGCGTACAGATTTTAATGACACAATTTACTCACTAAAATGTGTATTTCTCTTGATTTGTACGTGTGTCCACATTATCGCTGTCTGGAAATAATCACAATATGTTTCATAAAAGTGACAAAGACTGTAATAAGCTACGTGCTATTTCAAGGGCATGCAAGTACTGTGGCAGCATGTTGCTACTTGCATTAATCTTCACACCCACATAAAAACAGAGGCCAGTTGGTTTCATAATATTTCCTGAAAAACAACTTAAGACCAACAAAGCACCTATCATCTATTCCCATAGGAGCACAGAAGAAAGCTTTGATGGAAAATAGAACTCTTTTCAGGGGACCCCAAATTGCTCCCCAGGAATGATAGTACCATAACTAGTATTATGGCTGTCAGTCAACTCCATTTAACTGGATGGTGTTAAATATAGACCAAGATACCAACAACTTCCATGCAGTATGATGAGCTTTTTTTTAACCCAGCATTAACATAATAAGAAAGGATTCTTAACACTAGAAGCATCTGACTAATAACTGGTAATACACTCAAAATGGAAGTAGTGGAAAGTATGTGTTTCTGCTGTGTTTTCTTCATTTTATTTAATTTATTCTGAGTCTCAGGGTACAAGCACTCTTTCCCCTTCTGGCAGCCAGGTGTTGTGTGCCTGCACGTCTGTTTTGAACAAACCGCACAGAGGTGAGAACACCAGCTCTGAATTGTGATTTTAAGATTGAAAATAAAAGCGCTCTTGCAGCTCTTGCATTTCAAAGTAGCAACCCAACCATCAAACCACAGCTGATTTCCTGGTTTATATATCTGCATGTAGATTTCTGCTGTTTCACTGATGTAAACATCAACTTCCCTCTGCTTCATTTACATCTACTATATGTGTGTGTGTGTGTGGAGTGCATCACAACACAAATCATTGCTTGTATATAATAAATGCACTGTGGCAGTGTGTGTTACACTGCTATATTTGTGAACTTGATGAATTCTGTGCTTGTGAGTACGGTACGTAAATATACATGTTCAATGTGCACTGCAGTCAGTATTTACACTGAGCCTATATTTTGAGGTATACTGTCTATCACACAATGATTCAGTCAGCATTAAAGGGAAACATACACCGTCTTTCTGGTGTCATTTTATGTATATATGTCATCACAAAAAATGCTTTCTTACATTTTATTTTCCAGAAATATTTAGTATTTTTAGTGATGTGACTTAAACATCTGCCAGAAACACTGTGACAAAATATTGTAACTAATATGACCACAATCTTATAGAATTCAACCAGGAAACATATATGTATTTAAAATAACATCTCTGCAACAAAATAATAATATCAAATAATAATAATAAATCAAAATTTCTCCTGTCTGATGTCTTGGTATTATTCTACATTCTTCTGGGGAATGATTGAACATTGTTTGTCACCTCCGTGGTAAAAATATCTGTTATTGTTTCAGCTTAATTGCACAACACCAGCAGGGTAACCTTCTGATTATCCAGACGTGAACGAGCTCTTTGTCTGAGCTCTGAACAAAGCTGAAAACCAACTAAAATGAGCAGTGTGCATTTTCCTCTGTCGTGTTGGCAAAGGTTATGGGCAAATAATCATAGCATCAAGGCTACCTATAAAATACATCATTAGACAAAGCAAAGCTGGAGAACTGATCATATTAAAGAGAGTAGAGTTACACCCTTCTTCTGGATTTCAGGTGTGGCTTTTGGCTGCATCATTATCATTCTTATCTGTGGACTGTGGGTTTTTTCTCCCTCAGTATGATCATTTGGGTGGTTATGTACTCTAGCTGGCTGTTTTCTATTACATGTCGTATAATTGTATTATATCTTTTATTTTTATTGATCAAAAAAAGTGTGAGCTGAGGAAAAGGAGTTTGTTGTCAGTATCTCTTTCTCCTTCATTCACCTCTTCTCTCTCTGCTCATCAGTAACCAACAATTTTCCCTCTATTTCCCATTGTTGCGTTGCCATGGTGACGTTGGTTGAATCTCATTTGTAAGTTGTTTCATCTGGCCTCCTCCCCAGAGGGAAGCCCTGCAGCGTGGGGATGCGTCAGCGGGTCTTTCTGGAGTGCCTGTTCCACTGAGAGGAGCTCATATCAGTGTTTCTGTTAC